CTGGAGTTTCACCGCCATGCCATACCCTGCACACTGCAACTTTTGCAAATGGATACGCTTCGCGGTGCGTAAACCATTTCATGGACATTTGTGTTCTGGGCGAAGAGAAGATATGCTGGACGCTACATTATCACTTAAGCTTCTGATTGGGTAACAGTAATTGTGCAAACATGAGCTTTTTTCATTTCCTTTTAGGGTTGAAATTGAAAAGGGAGTTGATGTAGTGGAAAATTTCGTAGCATCAAAAACGTAGAAGGAGCTTTGTAGTTCAATTCAGCTTGAATCCTGACTTTGTATTTCTCCAAGAAGTCGTGAGCAGAGAATTGCCGACAATTGATCGCTTGTCAAAAATGTACAACATTTTCTACTCGAATAAGGACTACCTATACTACACAGCAATACTTGTCAGCAAAGTGTTCGAAGTTAAAAGGTCAGTTTTATTGTGAAGTCACCGATCCTTTGCAATACTGATGTCGAGTTTTCAAGGCATGAAGTAATCCACTATCAGAACTCTGGAATGGGTCGGACGTTGCAGATTTTAGAGGTTCTTTGCTGTTCTTTTCCACTCGAATGGGACATTGTTCAGCTGGCAAAAATAAATTTTCCAGGGAAAAATAGGCGTACAAAGGGTGTTCTTACTAAATACTCATTTGGAAAGCATGCGGGAGCACAGTAAAGCAAGGTACTATTAATCTCTTTGACCCATTCTTTATATCGAACCCTACTAAGATCGTGTTTTAGGAAGGAGCAGTTTCAAATCTGCATGGAAAAGAATTCAAGAACTGATCTCCAAGCACCCGAATTGTCCTCTTGTTCTTCGGTGGCGACTTAAATATTAGAGATGACGAGGTTTAGTTGAAGATTCTAATTTGGTCTTAAATTGGAGGAAAGAGCGCCGTTAAGATTTCCAATGTACCTCGTGGTGTTGCGGATGCTTGGTTAGCAGCAGGTGCTAAAAAGGACACGGAGTTCACATGGGATACCCGAAAGAATGATAATAAACACAGTTTCGGAGCTAGAAATAGGTATGTGGCTTTTATTATCTCTTCACGTATTCATTCTCAATATATGGTAAGGACCCATGTTTCTAATCATGTTGGTTGAGGTTCGACCGCATATTCTGGTATGGACCACTGTCCAAGGTTAAGTTTGCGCTTGCCGGTCAACAGAGGATAAGAAGTTGCCTTTGTTTCCCTTCTGACCATTGGGCTGTACATTGTGAATTCTCATAACAACCCTATGCACTTGTCTGATTCCTCTCTTGCAAATACACTCGATACTCACGAGTAAACGCTTTTAGTCGGGTGCAGTGTCTTGCTTTAAAAGTGTCATACTAATGTTCTTAGTGTCATATTAGTTTTTCCTTCATTTATATGGCAAAATTTGCTATAGCGTTCGTAGCTTCTGTAGTTTTTTTTTACCCAAAAACTTGCTAGTGACATGGAAACATTATGCTTCAATACTGAACATCCTTTTTTTGATTCAAGTAGGGAATCCCAGTTTCTTCAACGTTTACTCCGTGTCTTGAGGATAGTCGGGACTATTTGTGTGGTACATGTTTGCATCCTTATACCTTTTGAGTTTTTTTACCTCGGTTTTTCCATCTTCATTGCCCATCGAATTTCAGCCCAAAAGGCGATGAATCGAAACCTTTACTCCTCTAAATTTTCTATTCCCCAAACCTGATCCACTATTCAAAGTCATATTTTTTGCTTACATTCCACTCCTGGTCTTGAATGGCCCGCTCAATGCACGGTAGTATGCTGTTCTCCTTGTAATCTTTACTTATATGTACAACAGGCAGCAAGTAAACTGGATTTCCCATTTTCTCTCGTCTTGGATTCACATTTCATGGCGAGTTTAACTAAAACGTGCTAGCTAAAAACAGGGGTGGGATCCTCAGTATTTATCTCATTCTTTTGACTATGCTCTAGTGACCCATGTGTTTGCTTTTCACTATGTGTTGAGCATTCGATACTGTTATCTGATTATTGACCAGTTAAATTTGTAGCAGTAGCACTTGAAAACTCGAGTGGTGGGTGCTCACCACTGTATATCGTGAGGCTGTTCTAATTTGCTTTTTCCTGAATTACTTTTTTTTTTTCGCAGAAACTCGTTGTCGATAGTTCTTCGGAATACTCCGGTATTTGTACGGTGTTCTTGAGTGTGCTCGTGTATTTACGCGTGTCATCAGCATTAGTCGCAGCATTGCTGTAAGCTCTCACTACTGATATTGTTTCTTATACTGAACAAATAAGATAATGAAAACTATTTGTTGCATGCGGTACTATCATGATGTCTTTTGGCGATAAAACATGTACAATAATTTTTTTAAAATCGAAGATCTAGTATGGTGGATATATGGCTTAGTCACAAAACACATCGAATTTTGAGGCTATTATTGCGTCGGACAAAATCAGTTCCCCCGACTTCATAAAGTAGGGACATCAAACTTTCGTCGCTTATTCTGCAAATGCATCGCGTATACGGGACCAGCCGCCTTTGCAGTTGTAACAGAAATGTCGGAGCACGCGAGCGTGTAAGCTCATGGTAGACCTATTAAGCCAATAAAACAAAAGAATCTTTGTAATTTTTTGCCAGTAGTAGAATTGGTTCAGTAATGTTACCGAATTCCTCATTTCGATCCTTATTTGGAGTAAGTTCGCGCTCTCGTTCTTCCATGAAGATGTATCAGATCATGGCGGATTACAAATGTCTTTCAGATTGTGAAACCATTTCCTATTCGGTTTTGCCACAGTATAGAAAACGGCGTGTGGAGCATAAATCTGAGGACCATTTTTCTCTGACTGGCTGGTAATGCCAAAAAATGTCGAAGCAAATGCTTGTGGTTCGATCCCACTGGAGACAAATTTTTGCATTTTTCTGATTTTCATCTTCCTACGCGCTCAATCTATGCCTAAACTCATTCACTGAAAAATAAGCATCCAGCAACACATGCAACTATACAACGCTACGTTGCTGTAGAGTATATAAGAAACGTAAAAGTTTCACCTCCTTAGAGAAGTTTTCCGCCCTTTTCTGGCAGTTCCAGGGGCCGCTCAGAAAGAATACCTTCAGTTCTGGACTCCACCCATTCGCCCTTACATATAACAGGCTAAGAATCGTTCTGAAAAAACGCTCCACGTCGAGTGCCCTCCCAGGGGCGGTATTCAATCCTTCCCCCAGGGGTTGGGGGACGAAATCCCTTTAAATTTTCTCTGTCTTCCCAATGGGATTGTCCTGATAAAGGGCCTACGTTTAATGTATGTATGTATGTCAATGTAATCATGCATTGAAAATGAAGAAACTACATCGTTCTAAAACAAATAAATTTAAAGGGATTTCCGTCCCCCACCCCTGGGGGAAGGATTGAATACCGCCCCTGGAGAGGACTCTATAAAAGAGCGCGATAAATTCCCCATCCAGCTGATTTGCTCGGGTGTGAAGTGAAAGTGCTACTAGAGAATAAGACACCATGGGACTGTGCGAAGCAAACCTCCGAATAAGGCTTTGTAGGTGCAGCTCAACTTGACATGAGATGATGTCCCGAATGATCATCGAATAAGGAATTCAAGTTCGAGATAGGAACCTAGTAGTAGCCGAACTGGTAACAATGATGACTAGAATTTATACCGAGCATATCCTTGTAAATATCTCATAAAAATAACAAGATACTAACAACAGATAGTATCCATGAGAGCTTATCACATTATCACTCAATATGTACCACGGATTAATAGTCATTGGAAGAGCAACGCTACAGCGCAATCAAACATTCACGCACATTGGCTAGTAATAAAATGAAAATCGAAAAATTTCAAGAAAATACAAGAATTACATTATAAGATTAATTATCGAATTAGCAAGCTATACAAGAGTAATACGTAACCAATAAATAAATACTATAGCTTCTGGGAAGCGTAATTCTGGAGCGCAAATCAAGGTCTGATCATCGAACACATGGAAAATCAATTGACTTCCCTTTCTTTCCATTGAATTTAAAACAACAATCTTCCAAAAAAAGTATTTACACTTTCAAAGCGGCTACTGCCTTTTGTGGAACCTGACAGATGGGTGCATTCAATCAGCAAGAAAATCACCAATAAGCTAGTCAAGTGAATCTGGCTTTTTTCCTGAGAGGAACTCTTCTAACATCACCTCTTCTAGTCGCTCTCGATTCTCATCACTCGGCTGTACGGATGCTAAAAATGGGAGTTGATGAATCCAGAAAATGAAACCAAAAAAATAATGATTCATAGTAAAAAAAAACATAATAAATCCTAGGGTAGACTGTCAAAAATGAAATGAAAGTCTAGAGCAAGAGGTATGTAACTTACTATTGAGCACCAGTGCCGCACTCGGCTCTATATTGATGATACTCGATACAGAACGTGTTTGTTGTCGGATTAAATCGACCTGAAAATCCCGATATTGAACGGCATGTTATCGGTTGCTCAATATGTAAATATATGGACACATCCCTCCAGCTACTAAATTAGTCGCGCATCGAAGTGGGACGCCGTATAAACAACTTCATTGTTCCATTGATTGATCTCTGCTGGATGCCCCATGTATTCGTTTTTGTGCAAAATGCCGAAAACATGAGTGCACAAACGGTCTGAACTTCAGGGCAAGGAAAATGCTAAGGCTGTAAAAACCACTTTGTTTGGTACCCAACCACCGTTCCGGTTCCGGCCACAATTCTGTACTACACCTAGTTCTTTCAATACCTAAGCACTAAACGGCTTTCAGCGCTGATAGCTGTAACTGGAAGAATTAGATGGTGAGAGTTATGAGAAGTAAACGATGGAATGAAAAAGTGCTAAAGTATTACAACATTACAGTAAAAGTAGGGCTGAAGAAACGCACACAACAACGCGTTGCAACGAAGTGGGCGGAGATAGAAAGAGTAAAAAAAGATAAAGGACTGTGTCATATTATCAGGATGAGCAACATTTAACAATACTGAGAGAGATGAACTCGAAAAGAAGCAACTGTATTTGAAAGCAAAAAAGACTAATCCAAGTGGTAAGCAAAAATAGGAAAACATACGGTAAATAGAAAAAGAAACAAACATCTGCCACAGATAAAATGTTCCGATTCGCAAGGCAAAGAGAATCTAAAACAAAGGCTGAATGGAATGCTTTGAACGGGCCGCTCTTCTAGAGCACAGTCCCACAGGCTCTGCTACTTCACGTGCAGTTGGATCGTTGAAATGAGATGAATAAAACTGCAGAAAACCACTTAATAAAAATATAAGAGCTGAGATTCAGAAAAAGGAAATTGGAAGGGCAAGGCCTAGTTTTTTTCCGACACTTGTTTGACAAATTTGGAGCTTCTTCATCGATTACGCGTTTCAAGGAAAATATCACCGCTTCGGCCACACACTTATTTCAGGATTAAACAAAAGATGGGCATAACTGAAGAGCACATCAAAATACAAAAAGAAAGAGAACTCTAACTCGCCTCCTCTTCGGTTCTGACCACAGTGGCCAGCGCTTCCAAGTGAGTCATTGCTTGCTCCGCTTGATTGCAAAACCGTACCAGCTTGTCCACCTAAAATATGTTTTACATAGTCTAACATCGCTATATATTTCGGACAACATCTAGATATTGATTCTGTCATCCTTTTGATGCGAACATGCACTCTCACTGAGTTCACAATCGTATCAGCTATTGTTTTAGGTCGGTCCATAATTTTTGAGACACTTTATTTTGTTGTCGTAAATCTTTTCAGGGCTAATTGAAATTTCGCCACATGTATGATGACGTGGCATGGCCTTTTGGGATTCCGATCAGCTTGCCAGTTCATTCGTTAGCTGCTTGCCATGGCTACGATACAATTCGCGAGAAGCTACTCGAAAGATAAATCAGCGATGGCAAGAACACTGGCTCTCTACTCCACTGATACGTCGTTGGTCCGACATTTCAAAACCGCGTCTTTTCGCTTAAGCTGTCCTGGACGTTCCCGTCACATTCGATGTCGACGCTGAGGCTCGTAAGCAGCTTCCGCACGCGTCGCGATATCGCCATATCCTTTGAGTCACCTGGACTTCGACGCTTTCAGACGCAGTGCGGCGATGAGAAGTGGGTACTGTTCCGTTAAGCAATCCCAATAGACGGCAGTGGCTTGGCCCCAACCAATCTGGAGTTCCGACAGTCAGAACTAAACCTCATCAAAGAAAGATTCTTTTGTGCTGTTGGTGGAATGCAGAGGAGTTGTGCACTGGGAGCTACTACCTACGAATGGAACAGTCAACGCAGAAGTTTACAGTCAACAGCTTTCGAATCTGCCAGTCGCCCACCATTTCGAAAGGAAACTCAACGACTGTTTACGTTCCCATGACAACCCGACCCCATATTGCTACGGAAATTCAGGAAAAATTAAGGACTGTCGGATGGACCGTTCTCCCGCACCCACCTTATAGTCCTGATCTCGCCCCAACGGATTACCACTTATTCCGACTCTCTAGCTCACTTCCTTGAGAGAAAATCTTACGCTAACGAACATGATCTCGAATCTGACATCCAATCTTCGACCACAAACCAGTGGAGTTCTACGAGACGAGTTCAAGAGCAGCTCGCCACATTGGCAGTATGTTGTCAATAGTGTGGTTCAATCTAATTTGAATAATATCATACAAACCAGAAATAATAAAATCGAAAAAACAGCCAAGTCCCCAAAATATGAACGACCTAATACGAGCGAAAACACTAACAGAGCTGCAAATGAACACTTTGCAATACGTGGACTTTAACAATATTAGTGACCTCTCAGCGAAGTAGCCTAAGCTCATCAGGATAAGCGCATAGTTTCACTTTCCCTAGCTTCCACTTAGCGCTTTCCGCTGTTTCACCAACTGACGTAGCAACCCATAGCAATTGAATAAACAGCTTAAGCGTGTTACATTTCATTACAGGAAAGTGCCTCTTCGTAGTGAGCTGCCAATCATATGAATGTTCTCAACCGGTACCTGTCTGTTGAGGTCCTTTAATTTTCCGATCCATATCAGAAGTATTTCTCAAAGAATGAGTCAATTGCCATCACAGCGTCCGCTCGTTCTTTACACATCTGAAACATCCGATATTGAAGATCAATGTGTTGCAGGCTGAATTATAAGAAACAGCTCTGGTGAACAGCCAGAAGCTATACGAAGTTAAACAAATGATGGTCATAAACAATGCTGAGCCCGTCCCATCCGAGTACTACAGAGGTTCGCTAGACGAACTCCCTTCATCAGCCACCATTCGCATCTGATCCAGTGATAATTGGAATCTGAACCATTATTGGAGATCTTTAGGACATTTTTCGATATCCCATAGTCATCTCTGATGTTTGAATAGTAGCGAGCCTCTGCTTTTTGAATTTGGTATAGGTAGTCAACGAGGTAAACTTTGGAACCCGGCTCGAGGTTGCTGGTTGCCATGAGAGCTTTGGAGCTGACAGCAAAGAAGTGGCGATAAGGTCTTAGATTTTGACCTCGGAGTAGGACTGCCGGAGTTTTGAGATGTTTATAATACATTCAGTAACAACGAATGAGTACAACAACTCTCGCACGAGAGGGTCGAGAGCTCAAGAGTTTGATGGTGGCAGCAGTAAAGTCGGAGGGGACGGCGGCGGGTCGTCACTCCTGAATGACTTGTATACGGATGAGCTCGCCTGCATTATTACCTAGGTGACTTTCATACATAGCTTCCCTCCTGAAACGGTAACTTAGGGTACGATTGTGTAGCCGCGAACAGTCGAGGCAGACCACACGACAGATGGTCGGCCTGGATCTACCCACTATGGGCACGCGGTTGCAACCTACAGTAACTCATCAAATTCTACTCAAGTAAACTCTGCGTTGGGTAATCCCATTTCCTAAAGTACGTTTGACAGACACGGATTTGACAACCAATCCTGATTTGATATTGTTTTCCTTTTGCCGTTGACGGAGTGAAAGGACAGGACAGAACACTACCACGCATGGCGGTGTGGTTGCAACCTCCTCAACTGCACCTGGGCAATGAATTTTATTGAGAATCCCGAATAAGCTTAGATTCCAATCTGCACGGGAACGGAAGGTAGTGAAAAGGTCCATCACTTCACATAATACAGTCAACGGGATATTACCTACGTAGTGTGCGGCTGTCGGTAGATGGTCACCATGGGATCTATCCGTCCACTCGGCAGGTCTCCCAAGTTGAACGATATCCTTTGAAGCCCTTTTTTCAGAAAATTTAAACAGAGAGGAATTAAGGGATTAAGCATTCGGTGTTGATTAATCCCTTCATGGGGTGCGCCATGCATTCTACTTGCATTCCAGAATTTCGAACGCGACCAACGTTACACATTATATACAACGACTTGTGGGAGCCATTCATTGACCCATTCAGTGTTTTTCTTTTTCTAAACAATTTTATGACCAATTGACCGACTCCAAAAAGATTGAATTCCTATTTGACCCGAACAGCGTACGACTCATTTGATTACCAGACCGTGCGCGTGGTAAACAAAGCTATGCCCACTTGCCCACACCACTTTCGCCATCAAATAGAATATATAACGGAACTAAGAAAATTTCTTCAGCATGGCGTGATCCCATCCCACGCAAATCATCCACATCTCCCAGCTCCGATTAACAAGGGAGGTCGTTCAGGGTGTGCCAAGCTTTTTCAAAATGGTTTCTTGCATGACATTGGGGCACATATGGGAACCACAGAACCATGGTTCATTTTTCCTGAACGGCCCTCTGAATACCAGAAAAGGGGTCCCTAGTTCGATTCCTCGTGGTGACAAATTTTTGCATTTCGAGTTGACGTTTCAAAATTCGCGCAAAATGGAGTTAGCATGAATAATTAGTACCATATTCATGATTAGGACCGTCAGTAACCCTTACAAAAAGACTTTGATTAAAAAACTGGTGAAAAAGGTGTGACACCAAAACGGCCCCACTGTGGTGTCACACCTTTTTCACCAGTTTTTAAAGTCTATTTGTAAGGGTTACTGACGGTCCTAATCATGAATATGGTACTAATTATTCATGCTAACTCCATTTTGCGCGAATTTTGAAACGTCAACTCGAAATGCAAAAATTTGTCACCACGAGGAATCGAACTAGGGACCCCTTTTCTGGTATTCAGAGGGCCGTTCAGGAAAAATGAACCATGGTTCTGTGGTTCCCGCATGTGCCCCTATATCATGCAAGAAACCGTTTTGAAAAAGCTTGGCACACCCTGAACTTGTAAGTGAATATGAGAATGATACAAATGATTAATGAAGATGAACATGATGAACTACGAAATAGGCTGATCATTGCAAGTCACGGGTGGCAAAATACGCATTGCAATACTTCTATCATACATTTTCGAGTGGCAGCAGAAGGCGTGGCGCATCCTATTTCCCTTCTCCTGACCACTAAAGCACTTAAAGCAGAGCATTGCGACCCTTCGTCTCTTTACAGTGGTGCATCGTCCTCAGTAAAGAATCGTGAGAGACCACCGTCAAACCTTTTCCTCTGAACCAGAACGAGTTCTCAGGGGTGTGTATGGGATCACACTCGATCTACGCGTTTCGCAGACCGTCATCGTCGGCGTGCCAAAGCAGTTCACTCCGTTTGTCGATACCACTACGCCCACAGGCCAATAGCATGCCTGGTTTTCCTCTCGATCTAATAGAAATATTGTCCTTCAATAGTTTAAAGCCCCTTTGAATCCATAAATCACTCAGTTCAACATCGATCGTTTTCCTTTCGAACGTCACCATCACTCTCTTCCTTTGTTTGTTTTTTATGACCCCTTTCACCACTCACTTCAACATTCCTCGAATTTCATTCGGAACTAGAATGAGAACGACGCGATTTACACTGCTCCCCTTCGAATATCTTTAAGAACCTGATTTCGTTTATTGTTCTTACGTTCACCTCGAAAACAATACACCTAACTGTTGAAAGTAATTGTATCAGGTCATCGTCCTGATACCAGCATCCAAACCCACACCTTTTCATGTCCTTTTTGTGATTAACGGTAGATTTATTACACTTAAGAAGCATCAGCGCTCAAGAAAACCCGCTTTTCAAGTGTGCAAGAATGCAAAGGGCACATTTGAATGCGCTTCCAACAGCTCAGTATTTTCGTAGCTGTCTTTGGACAATATCGCTAAATTCAGACAGTTGTCAGCTGGGCACTTAATAAAGCTTGTCGGAGTATCCCCTTAACCCCCCCCCCCCACCAAAAAAGGGAAGGGGCATAAAGCTGTTTCACAACTTTCCAGATAAAGTATAGAAATACTCCCGAAGAAAAATCGTGGGCACTCAAGGGTAGGGACGCTGTTAGTGGCTAAGACACGAACCCTCTAAACCGGAACAAAGTTACATCATTTCCGAGGTTCCGCGCAAAAGCAAATAGCGATGAGGTGGCAATTCCTATAACAAAGGAACTGATAGTAATACGGGCGAAGCCGCCAAACCCCACAGGATCGGCAAAGTTCAACTATGACCTGGCACCATGATTTCTATCTCAATTCATGACGGACTTTTAGCGGTTTCTTGCTGCTCCCGTGCTTGACTGTACTTTAGCACACGCTAAGAGGTACGTCTAGCGGTGCGGGTTCGAGTCCAGTACGGGGCGAAAGTATTGTCTCTAACCCAGCATTCTTGTGAAAATTTTAAAATGAATTGCGACCAAAACCAGCAGTTTACACTCAACAAAAAGAAGTCCATTTTGGGTAATTTTGGTTCCCAAAATCGCAAAGTATTTTAGCCTCGAATGTTCAAACGTTTTAAAACCAACTCATATAGCCCTTGGTTGCCTACATCTAACAACGACTCCTGCAGCATTTTGCAACTGCAATTCGCATTGATCTTACCTTTAAACAATCCTTCTTTCATCCTAATAGGACCGGCTGAGAAGATAGGATCTTCTGAGAAAGGTGAGAAAAAATGTAAAAAGAAAAACAAAAAACACCCATGTCCTACGATTTCGAGCAAACTGGTAATCATTCGTCTTAGTTAAAAAAAAACCCATCGATTTTTCACTATCAAAACTTGAATCCTTTCTTTCACAAACCCAAACCACAACTCATATTACAAAGAAGAGTTGCCTGCAGTTTCTTGTAATATTACAACAAAATTGTGGGACGAGGAAGCAGCTCGTTTTACCGCTTTTTCTGAGCCTTTCCCTTCAGTTGATCCTACCAGGATTCAGCACGCGCGACAGATGGCCTTGATAAGACCTTGTCTTTTTCGTGAATTTCCGAACTATTTCTTCCCTGTTGTTTTTTGATGACAGCTTGTTGTAACGCCTAGAAAGCAAACTCCTCTTTACCCTCTATCCTAGTCCTCTAGAACAAAATCAACTCCGGGAATTCTGTTCAATTTTGAGGATAATTTACCAGCTCATGCCAAACTCTCAAGTTGTGTCCCGTAGTACCCACTTCCTGATTCTGCATTTCGTCCGTAGTACTCACATTGACTCAGATTCAAGAAATTAAATACGTATTTATTTCTTTTTGTACAAGCCACTGCGTTTGAAGTACTGTAATGATTTATGAAGAAAAGTTTGTCTGAAACAAAGTCGAGAGAGAGAAGGAAGAAGAGGCTCGGGGAACACAGGAAAGTTCTATGAACCGTGCAGATGCGAAGCAACCTCCCTACAAATTTCGAGACAATTTTGTTTTTTCGCCCTTGCCAAGGAGGATAGAATCACCGACTTGTCCATCACCATCACCAACTGATCTCTGCAAGTCACTGTGTGGGCCGTATCGCATCCAAATCCTCTTCGATTCTGGATGCAATTAGCATGCACGGCGTATTCCAAGAAGTTATTTATAGGCAATGCTCCGAACGCTTTAAACACGACACGTTCTTTAAAAAATAGAATGCCATTCAACCGCCCGTAGGGGTCAAAATAGCGATCCCTACAGACGGTTGAATGGCATTCTATTCGCTCTTTGTTCTGGCCAACCAGAACATTAGAAAACATCAAAAAGCAAGAATGACAAAACGGCTGCCATTCGCAAAACAATCCACTTGCGGGTAACTCCCACAGTGCATTCAGCCTGTCAACACTTCTGTACACTGTTTCGCTCATAAAAAGCGAACGAATGGGAAAATTAGCCGCTTAGCTTGCATTCACGCCTGGG